TAAGACTTCTTTAAAGTTTTTTTATTTTTTTAAGTTTTAAAGAACATAGACCATAAAGAACATAGCTGTCACTTTGGAAAGTAAAGTACACCTGATCCAAGGAAGGGTATTTTAAATGCTTTATAGACATGTAAAAGCTGGGCAATGAATAAAAACGACTAGACAATTAAGGAATGCACAACATGGTATGGGGAAGGCATTGAGCATACCGTGGGTTCCTGAAGAATAATCACACCTGCTTTGGAGGAAGTAGCGGCTATTGCACTTTCGAAGCAAAGACGGTGAGACTTTTTCTTACACACTTTGGATCTGCTATAAGAAGGGATTAATTCCTGGAGAAGGACACCATGCGTGGGAAAGTAGAGGGTCATCAAAAAAGAGGAAGACTGTCAATGAGCAAGATTGACAACAGGGGCTGCAAAAATACCATTGGGAGGATGTAACAAGACCAGGCAGTGTCTCATCTGTGATCCATAGGATTGCTAGGAGTAGAAACTGACTTAAAAACACCTAACCACTGGCCACACATCCATGATTTGTCTCCTGCATTTGCTAGGAAAGGAGTGGGGGTCTGGAGGGTGGTCAATGGGACTTCCTTTAAAGGACATTCTACCAGTAGGGTAGAATGCAACAACGAGAGCACATGTATCAATTGTGAAGGTGGGGAGGGAAATGAAACTCATGCGACTTCCATTTCACTTTTCTTTTTATTTATCGTTTTAGATGTTGTCATGTAAGCTGACACATTGTGCAAGTTCAAAAGGAGCTCCATCTTGGGGGTTTTAAGAGAGAACGAGGGACTAATGGTTTCATGATAAACCGTCAGCTCCAAATATTTTAGAACTGCATGATTGCTAGGGGTGGGGTAGGGGTGGGGAAGAGTACTAAAACTTCATACTGTGAAGCTCACTGACCAGAGGAAATGCTTATCTGACGAAAGAGATACTTATATCATTCCTGTGTCCTCTGGTACAAATAACGCAGTGTATCCAAAAACTAGTCTGTCATGATCATGTGGCCATTTCTGGAATCATGCGCTGGGACATCTTACCTCATTTTTAACCAATGATCACTGCTCACAACCTACAACCACGACTTCTAATTTTTGAAGTCTAAAGTTCTTTCTTGTGGATTCCTCAGTCTTGCAAAAATCGAAGTCTGCTTTCTCGCCTCTTTTAAATGACTCCACTGTATATACTATTAATCTAAAATAATTTTCTATTATAAACTTATAGCAGTTTGTGCTTATGCACCAGGACAGCATTATAGTAGAATTATCAGCATAGCTAATTTATTTGTGTTTAAAATGTCAATAGTCTATAGTTTAAGCTCTCTCTTTTTGCTCTCAGTGAATTTTGGAACTTCAATCATTATTCAGTTATTGTTAGTGCTTACTTACCCTTAATTTTCATATTACATTCACAAACAACAAAACTTTTAGAAAGCCTTCATGTCATTGCATCATATAGTTATATTTTATATTAGAAATGTATAATGTACACAAATCTAAATTTTTCTCATTTTCTATGTTTTGTATAATTTTGTACAACATTGCACTCCATTTTAATGTATTTTTCATACACAGAAAAATAAGCAGAATTAAAACAAGTTTATTTTCCACTGATTTAAATTTTGTTTTCCCAGTGAACATATGCTCTGTTATCATTGCTAAATTTACACTTCATTCTTCTATTCATCAAACAACACTAAGAATAATACCAATAATAAAATTTAACTGGGTTGTGTAGAGGCAAACATGAATTAATAGACTTTAGAATATTTGACAGCAAACTTAGTTTTGATTCCAGCTTTCTGCCCAGCATGTATTGGGTGTGCCCTTCTCTCCAAGGAATCTCTGACAACTCAGCTCCAGGCAAGCCAAATCCAAACTAGATAATTCCACAAAAGAATTAGCCTTTCTTCCTGTCTGATGATAACAGCTCCTCAACTGGCTGCTTCTCCTGTTCATTTTTTATTTTGCTTAAGAGCAAATTTCAGGTCACTACGACTTACACATTTATTTATTAGTTTATTTGCTGGTGGGAATTGGGGACTAAATTTTCTGTTACTATTTACACTGGAGCCCAAAGGTTGGTGGTCAGAATTCATCAGCCACTCCATGTAGTCTACCTTTGTAAAGATTTCAAACTTGGAAACAGTTTTGACTTGAAAGCACTTTTGCTCTGTCTTAAAGGGTTTTTATGGGTCCAAATCAGCAGCAATAAGTGTTGTTTTTCCTATACTTAACAATATAATTCCAGTCCCTGGTATTTAGTTTATACTTATACACTTTGTATTTTTATTAATTCCATTGAGGTATCACTTATATACAATAAATTGTATCCACTTAGTGTGTACAAGTCAATGAGTGTTAACTGACTTGTAACGCATCTGAGAAACTATGGACATCCTCAGGACACGGTACATTCCCATTGCCTACAAAAGGTCCGCGGGTTCTTCTGTAGCCCATCCTTCCTCTGTCCCTAGATTAGGCAACCATGAATCTGTCGCTTATATCTATAGATTAGCTTGCATTTCCTGGAATTTAGTATAAGTAGAAGGCCACAATATATATAAAATCTGGTTCCTTTTATGCAATAATGCTCATCTTGAGATTCATCTGTGTTGCTTCATGAAGTTTTTCTTTTTATTGTAGGGTATTCCATTGTACGTATGGATATATAAGATTTCCACTGTCTAATTATGTTGCTTGGGCAAATCTGCGGCCCCCCACCTCTCTATAACGTCACAGAGCAGAGTTGTCATGTTGAGGACTACGGAGTGCCTGACCCAGGCCATGGGATTTTCAATCATTTCATATGCCTGGGTAAGCTGGAAAAATGAATACGGAAGACCAGAGACGACGTGAAGTAAATGAAATCTAGTGTTGACCAAGACTATGGAAAGTATCATGAACTTCCAGAAGAACAAACAAATCTGTCCTAGAGGAAGAAGTAACAGCCCGAATGCTCCTTGGAAGCACGGATGGAGAGACTTCATCTCATGCATTTTGAACATATTATCGGGAGAGCCCACAAGTGGAGAGGGGCACCACGCTTGGCAGAAGGTCTGGGGCAAAGAGAAAGACCCTGAATACAATGGCTTGACACAGAAGTCTCAGCAATGGGCTCAGACATGGAAATCATTGTGAGGATGGCACAGGAGTAGGCAGTGTTTGAATCTGTTGTACATCCGGTCAGGCTGAGTCATGGCTGACTCCCTCCACAGCACCGACCAACAACTATGGATGGATGTTGGGATGCTGGTCAGTTTTTGTACATTGTGAATAAAGCTGTTATGATCTTATGTATATACCTGTATGTGGACATAGGTTTTCACTGTTCTTCGGTGTAATACCCTAACAGTAGAATCATTAGGTCATACGTGTCTGATTAACATTTAATAAAACTACCAGTTTCCCTAAATGTTCACACGCCATTGCCTTCTTACTAAAAGGGTAGGAGAGTTCTAGTTACCGGAAATGTTGGACTGCTATCTGCATGGTTAGCAGTTCAAAACCACCAGCAGCTCTGCAGGAGAGACTTGGAGACCCACAGGGTCTCTATGAGTCAGCATTGACTGGTGACAGTGAGTAAACCCAATTTTAGCTAGGTTTTCAGCTGTGCAATTGCTATATTTATATTTCACTCTTCTTTTACTCCAGGTGTGCATGACACATTTTTGGTAGAGAATAGTTTTTGCCCTCTCAGTTTACTTTCTAGTGACAGATTCCCCCTTTTCTTTACAGAACTAAATCTTACAGAATTATACTAGTACCAGTGCCTATAGTTTTGGGGGAACTGATTCCAATTGTAAACACATGACCCAGACAAGGCAAATCAGTATCTCTCTCTCTCTCTCTCTCTCTCTCACACACACACACACACACACACAGTGACAGCTGCATGTGGCTCAGGTTGGATTTTTATTTTTTGTACTAAAATTTGATGCTGGATAATGGTGGGGGAAGGAGGGGACTAAGGATCATGTAAGACTAGAAAAATACTTCCAGTACATGATATATTTCTGTAGAAAGCCCACCTAACAAATAATGCTCAAAAGAAAGCAGTGTAAAGAAATGGTAGGCTTCAATATTGGGTTCTGGAGTACAAGCATGACTAATATATGATGTCAGTCCTCAAAGGAGGTCATTGTAACCTCATGGAATAGACATATGAACACAACTGATGATAGCATAGTGTGATAAGTGCTATAATAAACATAGAGGAGGGGGAGGTGTAAGGTAGTTCATAAGAAATATTCCTAGAATAGGTGGTTGGTTCAGAAAAATCAGAAAAGGTCAAAATTGGGGAGAATGTCTAAGAAAGAAAATAGAGCATTTCTTAAATCTGTTGTTGTCAGTTATATAACAGAAGAAAATGCAAACCCATTCTCTGACATCGTCATCATCTTTGGATGCCTGGGACCGTTTTGTGGTTATTACGGAGAACAACAGAACATTCTAAAATCAAAAGTCTAAAACATCATAGGAAGATGTGTTATACCACTATAAACGGTTCAGAAGAGCTAGAGGCAAAGTCTCTGGTGGTCATTTGTCTGTCCTCCTTTCTCTCTGACACTTAGTGGTAGACAGTAGGCTAAATGAATCTAGAGTGTTAAGAGGTGAGAGGCACAGTTCCTGAGGAGTCTCATGTGCTAATAAAAAGCTTTTAAATTTTCTTCTGAAATCAATGAGAAGCTACAGATAATCTTGAGGAAGGGAAATGCGTGGCAGCTATGTGTTGGATGGAATGAACGGAAGGCCAGCCTGGGCATGGAGCTGGGGCTAGCATCTACTATGGTAATCCAGGTGAGAAAATGAGACCGTTTAAACATCTATGAATAAGAAGAGTCTCTTTCTCAGAAGCAGAAGATGCTTTTAAAAAAACAACAGTTCCTTGAGCATAGAGTGTACCAATCCAGATAAATACATTCTTTTTTCAAATTATAGGAAGAGTGGGTTCCAAGTTATCAGATCTCACAATACTTAAAGTACTCACCTCTGCGATCTGCAAGTCTGTGGTTATGGTTCTCCCGACAATATACATCAGAGTAACCAATGACTCTGCTCCATACCTACAAAGTTAACAAGATACCCGTCAGAAATAGAAAGTGTTCTGCAAGATGAAGCTACGTGTCACATAAATGTTAAGCATACAGTCTCCATTAATTCCCATAGCCCAAATTTAAGCAAAAACATGTATCAACTAGTTTAGCTTCAACTTCTAATAGCAAGTCTGTTTTATTGAAAATTATATTAACAATAATATTAAATTAGTAGTAATTAATATTAATATTAAAACTAATATTCATAGTTTAATAAACATTTGTGTAACATGTAATTTTAAGTTTCATTGTTTAAACTCTTCTGAAAAACAATAACTGTTGTTATATTTTAAGTGAGGTGGTTAGAAGGCATGTCACATGTTTAGAATTCAGAAATTAGAGGTTATATATATGTACATTATAACCTTAAAAAATAATAGGTAATACAAAACCAATTTCAGAACTTCTGATTAAACACCTGGAAAGCCTATTTCAGTTTTTGTTTTGGTGGCTGCTTTTTGAAGAGAAGATCCAGAACTTATGAGACCCTCCAAAAGTAAACAATCACCGAAGGCTAAGTACCATGGGGTTTTGTTTGTTTGTTTTTGTTTGGGGGGAGGGGGCTGGTTTTCTAAATTCCCTGAAAACAAGCAAAGTAATAGAACCTTCCCCTTGCCCTGAATGCCCCGGAATATCCAATCAAAATCATGTAAAAAATGAGCCCTGAAACATTCCATGGGAAACAGCACATACATACCTGCCCAAAGTATTGTGTAGCTTAAAAAGCAAATAAAGGGCTTTGGGGTGCATTAAATAAGAAAGAGAAAATTAAGATAGGATTAATATAATGACCACAACAAGGTTGACCTGAAATAAGAATTAATACATACAACTGATTTACTTCAAAAGTACACACTTGAACTTAAACATTGTCAGAGCTACTTTGACATCATACATACAGTAGTGAACGAAAATACTGATTTCTGTTTCTTTTAAGATTCCATGTAGTATAACATAAGCTGTATCTGTATGAGTCAAGTAGGAGCCCTGGTGGCATAGTGGCTACAAGTGGGGCTGCTAACCCCAAGGCCAGGAGTTTGAAACCAGCAGCCTTTCCTCTGAGAAAGATGAGGCTTTCTACTCCCATTCAGTATCAGTCTCCGAACCCACAGGGGTGGAGGGGCAGTTTTATCCTGTCCTGTAGAGTTGCCATGAGTTGGAATCGACTCAGTGGCAGTGAGTGAGTTATGTGATCCAAGTAGAGAGAAAGAAACAAAACTCAGGCAAAGCAAAGCTGCTTTTAAGGCAAAGAGGACCGACTTCCCCAGTTCTCCATTTCAATCAATCCGGTAGAAAAAAGGCCAAATTTGGCACAAAGTTTGTAACCTTAAAAGTGTAAATTAAAATAAAAGGAAGTGGGGGGATGTGAGGAAGGAAACTTACTGTCTTAGTAATCTAATTAAAATAAAGGGGTGGAGGAATGTGAGCAGGGAAACGGACTGTCTTAGTGATTGAGTGCTTCTGTAACAAGCGGGTGATGGCTTTAATACACAGAAACTTCTTCTCGCCCAGTGAGGCAGAAGTTCAAATTTAGGATAGCGATTCAGTAGAAAAGCTTTGTCTCTGTGTCAGCTCTGGGGTTGGCTTTTGGCTTCTTTCAAAATCTGGGGGTTTGGGTCCCGTGGGTCCCATGTGTCTTGGTATCAATGGGGTTCTTACTTCAGGGAACTGGGTCCTTGGGATGTGATTCGTTCCACACTTTTTTTCTTGGTAGTACTGAGATCCCTTCCTTCTACTCCTTTCTCTCACAAAATAAAAGGTGGTGTCACACCCCAGGGCCTTGCATCAGGCTTGTGACTCAAGAAAGGGTGTGACATCTCATTTTTATCTTGCCTTCTTAACATAGCAAACATAACCTAATCCTTATCCAAGAGCTCCCCCTAATAAAGCTATTTCTGTTTCCGCTCTCCTTTGTCCTATATTTTGTCTCCTCATGCCTCAGCTTCATCTTTACAGTTACGTGTTGGGCTGCTAACAGCCAGGACAGCAGTTTGAAGCCATTAATTGCTCCTTGGAAGGAAGATGAGGCTTTCTGTTGCCATAAAGATTTGCAACCTTGGAAACCAGAGGAGCAGTTCTTTTCTACAGAGTCCTTATGAATCAAGTCAATGGCAGTGAGTTTGGAATCAGCAGTTTTGTGGGCTTTTTTTTAATATATTTTTTTGAATAGGCAGGTTTTTCGGAATAGGCAGAGCTGGATTTTAATTCCATCTCGACAAGCTGTGTGGCCTTGGGAGCTGCAAACTTGTAAAACTGGTAATAGCATATAAAGGAAGGCATTAATTTGGATATAAAATTAGATAACATATATTTAGTCTTGGTGGCACTGTGAAATAACGGCTGCACTGTTAACCATAGGTCAGTGGTTCAGACTCACGAGCAGCTCTGTAAGTGAAAGCTGAGGCTGTCTGTCCCAGTAAAGCTTTTCAGTTTTCGAAACCCTATATAGGGTCGCTATGAGTTGGAACTGACTTAACGGTCCTGAGTTTGGTTAGGCTTTGGTTTTAATGTATGTTTAAACACTCAGAATGCCTGGCATGCTTCATTCCTTCCTGTTCTGTGTAACTTCAAGAAGGGATTCTGTGTAACTTCAAGAAGGGACAATCTCTTTGAAGTATTATAGAACCAAAATAAATGCATTACAACTATCTTATTCCTACTAATATTCAAATATGTCCTCCGTACTATAAAGACAAGAGCCTCTGGGGACAATATAGTTACCCTTTCCAAAGCTGACAACATTCCCAGACAGTGAGCGCAGTGATTTGCACGCTCTCTGCTGGCCCTGCCTTTTGATTCCTTCTTTCTCACATTTCCCCTTCCTGCACTCACGGCCATATCTAATTCTGTTTGGTCCCTTTGTGTGTTTAAGCAGTTCCACTTCCATCACTGTTGTCTTCTGCTTCTTGCCATCCTCAGAACTTCGGGATTCTGATTCTCAACACTGCTGCAACCACTTGCCTTCTCAGTGCCCATTAGACAAGCATGGTGTCACCACAGCATCTAACAAGATACAATGGCTTCGACGTGAAGTGGGACCCCACCAAGGCTTGGACAACACGAGAACTTCTGACAGGCTTCTACTAGATCATATTTACATCTTTTGAGTCTGTTTCCCATTATGAAATACAGCAAAATGAAAATGAGATTTGAGTACAAGTTTTCGAACTTGAAACTCTAGACATACATATATTTATTAAATATGGATATATTAATTATATATATTTAAATCGATTGGTGAAGAAGTTAGTGTTTGTTGTGGACCAGTTGAACTGGAAACTGAGTATACCTTGTATTCTGTATTTAAATAAGACCAGGATCAAGATGTTCCTGTAGGTCACTATGAATTGGAATCAACTTTATAGCAGTGAGTTTTCGAGTGAGTTCAGTCCATATGTGTAAGAAAGCCAAAAAAAATTTAAAAGAATAATAGCAAAAATATAATTTCTACCATATATAATTTTTTAAATCACAAAGATCTTGTTACTGTATTCCCATATATACATTTTCCCTTATAGGATCGATCCGTGGCTGCCAAGACGCCACAATGAGAGGAGTTAACGTGAAATGGAAGGATATGTTCAGCATTTCTCAAGCTGAAAGAACTGAAGAAAAAGTTCAAGTCTTGAGTGGCAATAATGAAGGATTCTATGGGACAATATTGAACTATAGGGGAAACATTACAGGAAGATGGAAGGAATACACTAAGTTACTGTACCAGAAGTAATGGATTGATGTTTAAATGCCTTGAGAAGTGATATATGATCAGGAATTAATGATATTGAAGAATGAAGTACAAGCTATGGGCGTCAGTGACAAACTAGGAAGACCAATAGAAATGTTTCAACAAACTGATGCAGTGCTGGAAGCACTCACTAATCTATGCCAAGAAATTTGACAGAGAGCTACCTGGTTAGCTGAGTGAAAGAAATTAATATTTGGGCCCATTCCAGAGAAGGGTGATCTGACATAATGTGTAAATTTTAAAAATGGTTGCAGCAGTACATAAGCAATGTGTTGCCGTGACGGTATGACCCAGTTAATATATGTTTAATTATATATTCCAAAATATATTTCCATATTGGGAATTCTCTTTGGGAAGCAGTTCTGACTAGGAGAGATGGCTGGTAGCATGCTCAGCAGCATTACTTGACCTTAGTATGGAAAGAAAGTCAATGTCAGTGAAAAACATGTGTCCACTAGTGCTCTGAGCAAGAGAAGGCTAGTCTCAAAACCACAGTATCAATTATATGTTGCCCAAGGCCAAAGCTGAACACAAAATTGTTTGTTTTTTGTTCCAAAGCATGCTGCCACAAATAGTCAGTCCTACATCCCAAGCTGTAGAGTTTCTGCTCAAGGGAAAATTGCAAGCTGGCACTAATAAAAGCCTTTCTGTTCAAACTCATCTGGATACCCACCCCAAAAAAGCCAAAATTAATCTTATGGCCCTAACCTAAAACACAAGAAAGAAATAATATAAATATCATATATTTATATAATGGAAGAAATGATCCAAGGATTGTAAATGATAAAATCCCAAACTGAAGGACAGAATGTGAACACTGGGTTTTGGAAGGCCACAATGACGTGAGAGCCCCAAATCCATTTGGAGGTCCACACAGGGATCAAGTCTCCAGAGAATTCCCTCTGACAGATCAGGTATGTGAATAGCCTTGCTATCATGCAGAGTGCAATGTTTTTGTTTTTGTTTTCTTTGCTTTCTTTGTTTTTCTGTATATGAAATCCAAGATGGAGAGAGCTCTATGATAAAGAAGTAATGATATTGAAGAAAGAAGTACAAGCTGCATTGTGGGCATCAGTAAAAAACTAGGCAGACCATTAGAAATGTTTCAACAAATGATGCTGTGCTAGCACACCGAGTGAAAGAAATTCATACGTGTGCCCATCACGAAGAAGGGAAACCCGACATAATGTGTAAACGTAAAAATTGGTTGCAGCAGTATATAAGC